CCAAATACCGGGTTGTCAAATTTAGACATGAGACAATTAAAATGACTTGTGTGTGAGGACAGCCAGTGGCTAGCCTTGCAAAGCATTTTTTCCTTAATATTTTTTTCTTTTATTGCTATGTATGAAGAAATATAATGTGCATGTTTTGTCATGTGTTTGGGGGTCAAGCAGGAACCTGCACCTAACACACCATGGATTTGAAATACAATGAGGAAATCTATTTTTTTCCATCTTATTTGCAAGTGCAAAGATGCAAATTTGTTGTCATGTTTTCTTTCACTGAATTATTTAATAACTGACATGAATAAGAAGTTTTACAAACACAATGCATCAGAGACTAGAACTGTGTAGGAATATTCCTTACACATATACCATAGCCTTTTTTTTTTTTTTTTTTTTTTTTTCTTCTTTTTGCATGCTGTTCTCTGATTTAAGAATTTTAAAACATAGAGAACTCAACTGGTAATTTTCAAACTGAACCTAACTGATACTGATAAAACTAATTGTATTTTCTTATGTAAGAATTCGAGATTAAGAAAACTATGCTAAAAGGTAGCCATATATAAAATGAAAATGTAATTAATGCCAACATGGGAAATTTATGAAATGCTCAATGTTCTTTTTGTGTGATGCTCAGTGTTTAGTATTCTTCAACTGTGTGGAACTGCCATTTCCATACAAACAAGAGAAGATAGATAGAAGGAATGAAAAGTTGATGGATTATTCAGATGCAGTGGTACTTCCATGAGAAAGCAATGGTTGCAAGTCCAGGAAGACTTGCAAATTTTTGTTTGTTTTCCCTCTATGTAATCATACTTTCAAGCTAATTTTTATCTTCTAAATGTTTGAAATTAATCAATTAAGAAAGTAGGACTTACTGTTTGTCTTCTTCTAGTACGAGTATTAAATAAAACTGCATTGATTACACATCACTTTAAGCAAGTACAGGAGTAAAACTAAACCAAAGGTTGTGGCTACATGACTTGGGGTTAGTTCTGTGAGTTACGAATTACTGCTTCTCCTTTGGAAAACATGAACCACTTAGATGAAAATATTTCTTCCATGTGCTTGCTCCATCATAAATTAGTTCATGATGAATCTCATTCTATAGCTCAATTTGTAAAATGGTGCATGGGATCTTTCTTGAAATCTCTATTTTGAGGCAGTTGGTTATACTTATTAAAAATATAGATGTGAAATATTTCTGTTTCTTTGTAGGTAGCACAGGTGCATTCATTTGCAAATTAATCTTAAATCCACAGAATTCTCTCAGTACTCCTATCATTCCTAACAGTATTAGCTGTTGCAGTAGCTTACTTAGAGCAGGCAAGCTGCTCAGCTCGTAGTAAGTCCTTAACGCAAAAAAAACAAAACAAAACAAACAACCCACCAAGCCAGAAACAAAAAACTGCAATAAGAAAGCAACCCAACGTTTTATCTCCTCGGCAGAATCTGAGCACTTTTCCCTTTGTCTCTTTTTAAAGTTATACGCTGTTAACGATTTCTGTGTTTATTTCCTCGAATTTCTTTTGCCTTTCTCACTAAGTTATTTTTTTTTTCTCCTTTTATACACTTACTGGTGGGTGTGTATCTGAATAGCCAGGTGTTTCCAATCGCTTTGGGGTCCACATGACCCACTGTGTAAAACTGATTGTTTCCTGATCAGTCAATTTTGACTTAAAGTCAGCGTTTTTCTTGAAGATAGAGGTTACTGGGTCTCAATAGGTCTAACAAGGTGGTTCATACCATGTGATGTTAAACTTCTGTGTGAGTACCAACTCCCTAGAACACTTAAACATCAGTGTTGGCTATGAGTCTGGAAAAAAAAAAAAAAAAGAAAACCCAAAAAATTCTTAGAAGTGTTCTATTAATAGTAATCCAAGCTGATAGTATATGCAGACAGACAAAGCTTCTTAGGCTGAATGCAGTAATGCCGATGTTGTAATAAAGCCCTTGTATGTGAGGTGATACTCTGGTTGAAAGCCATTCATGAGATACATTAATGAACAGGATACATTCAGAAGAAGAATGGTTATTCTGGTCCTTCTTTTCTTTTCTGAAAGAAGAATATATCTCCCTTTCCTTCCTCTTCCATCTCCAGAGGGGCTGCTGAGTTTCCTGGGGTGCTGTGAAGTTTCACTTTCATGTGAAAAGGTAAATTGGTTCACTGTCAAATTAAAATACATTTCAAATGAGCCCAGCTGTTTGGCAGTGGTGTTGGGAGAGGGAAGCAGGGGGGGAATTTGGGTAAGTTAGTCTCCAGCAGTTGTTAAGTAGCTAAACTTCAAAGAGAGATGTTTCCTCCTGTTCCCTCAAGCACTAGCTCACAGCTTTTAAAATGTGTCTATAAAGATATTTTTTTTTTAATAAATTCTGAGAAGGTGTCCCAGAAACAAAAGTTTGGCTGCTTAGTCCAGTTCTTTTACTGTAAAGCAAAAGGATGATGAAGTATATTCTAGAACTTTAATGCAAGAAGAAGGAAAGAAAGGAGTATTTTCTTGGACTTCCTATCCAAATAAAATACTTAGTATGTTTGAAAGATTTGGAAGTTTGACAGTCTTTCGGCAGGTCCCATTGTAGTGCTTTCTGCACATGGCAGAGGTTTGTTTTTTTGACACAAGCACACACTGAGGAGCATCCTTCAGGTCTCAGTGCCATGATGACAACTAAAGAGAAATACAACTCTTCCCCCCACTCCATCTCCAAACAGGGAATTACTCTAAAAATCTCAAATACGATGTTTTAGGTAGCTTTACAAACACATTAATGAACAGACCATGTGGAGAAACAGTAAGAAGCTGTGCTTAATGTATTAGTTTGTTACCGAGTATCTGTCCAAAGCTGTTTTAAGATTCCTTATGTGTAATGGTAATGTAAATCCTTGATAGCTGGAAATCAGTTATAGTCTGGACTAGCGTAGCACTGTTCTAAAATGTTAGTTAGCAGTTACTGCTTTCAAACATACCAGTAGTATTTTGTACCATCAGACAGACAGCTTGAGGTGACGAGAAGATAATTCCCAGGGATATTTTTGCAGTTATGGAAGGGGCATGTCATGAAACCACTGTTATAACCTGATTGATGTTCTGTGGAGGTAATATCTGTGTTTATTTATTCAGCTGTGTGTGATTTTCATTGATCAGAAAAGAACAAGACAAAACACTAGGACAAGGAAACAGAATATTCTCTGGCTGTGCAGCCCAGTCCTGCCATAATGGGGAAAATGGCAAATGTCTTCTAATGCTTTCTTGCTGCTACCTGTGGAAGGTGAGGGGAGGGATGGCAAGCTAATATGCTCGACAGGCCTATAAGGTTTGTGGGAATTGGGATACAAACCATTATTGACAATTTGCTGTCTCTATGCTGGTCCTCTCTGTCACTCTTGAGCAGTTGTTCAAATCCGCCTAATGATGGGTCCAGAATGGATTTATATAATCTCCTCTGGGTATGCCTTTTCTAGAGAAACAGGGAGGAAAATTTTCTTCCTGGTGGGTTAGAGTAAGAATAGGCAACTTCTCTCCTTTGCAGTAGTGAATGTAGAGTTCGTCAGGTAGGCCAGAGGGCAGAACTTAAATTTGTGCCGTGTAGCAGTAAAGGGATCCTCTTCCAAAACTGATCATGGTCAGGAAGAAGATTCAGAAGATGGAAGTTTGACTAGGGGAATTGAGGACACCTATGTTCAGTGAAGTAGGGATGCAAGTGCCTTTGTTACATCCCAGTAACATTTTACCAGTGCCCTTCAAATGTCTGTGAAAGGTGGTAGCAGAATCCCAGCAGCGCCTGTACTGAACTCGATGCAGCGGATGGCAAGAACAGCCAAGGAGCACAGTTTTATTGCTAGGTGGTGTTTCCAGCTGACTTAATGAAGTCACAGCCTAATTAAGCCACATCCTTTGCATCTCTGAATGGCTGGGATAATGAAGGCAAGCTCTGTTTCATTCAGATGCTGGTGTAATCTGACAGGTGCATTATGTACATGCCTAGAGAGTGAAAATTGAAGGGAAATATCAAGCTGCCATAACAAGAAGATGGAATGATGAAAAATATTTAAATTGTTGTATTTTGGATTTGATTAATGATTTTGGGACATAATGAGCTGTGGCAGTGCTTGGAAACACTAATACTGCTGGAGTTGAAGTGATATTCATCTACAAAGCAAGCTTTTCATTAAATACATAGTGTGGAAGTGAGAGAAAAGCACTATTGTTCGTAGTTTTAGAAGTTTTATTTGGAAATGATCTAAGCTTAAATTGATCTACTGGTTACAAAACCTAGTGAATTATTAAGTTAATTATGATCAGGAAAGCATGATTTTGTTTACTCTTAGCAGAAGTGGCATCTTCATTCTGGATATTGTTTATTTTTTTATGAGTTTTAAAATAATCATATTTACTTTTAATATGTATCTCTAGAAACTGAAATGATTGGTATATTCTTAGCAGCTGTTTGCATTATGATATTTGTTAAGATCAGTATTGCAACATTTTTTACTAGTTCCTGCTTTTCAAAGTACTACTTCTGTTAATGGTTCAATTTTATTAAGATACAAATATATTTAGTTCCTGTGATTATCTCAGTGGACTACTCCAAGTCTAGAATGAGTGCTTACGAAAAATATGGCAAGAGTTTACTTTGTGCACACTACTTATAAGCGTCTTGTGAATTAATTGTAATATCTGAATTTATTTGAACTTTAATAATGCTGTAGTTTTTGTTAATATTCTGTGGTGTGTGCTATCACAGTAAAACTACACGGTATAATGTTACATCGTGTTCATCATATTTGTAAAAATCACTTGACAAACTGAATAAATTTGTGCGTATAATCTTACAGCTTTTTACAACTAACATGGAATATGAGTAATATGTGACCTACTGGACCAAAGTCAAAGCATCATATGCTTAGAATTGTTCCCTGCTTTATTTCCTTTCACAATGGCATGTTAATATATAGGAGTATAAAGAAATAGTTATTCAGTCTGTTTTCTTTTCTTCAACAGGACACAACAAGCATAGAAAAAATGTCGAACTGTTGTGAAGATGTGTAAGTGCTGTAAACTTTCTATATTTATTTGCTGAAGCAGTAGCTGCTTGTTTAATTGTGTGAGAGAGGCGAGGAACTAAAGGCACTGTTTAAATTGTTTTGTATGTTAGTGTACCCAGTGATTCCTATCTCTTGCAGTAGCTCTCTAATCCTGTAATAATTGGTTTTATACAAAGCAGACGCACGTTATTCTTTTTCTTTTCTTACTAATAGATGAATGAAATTGCATTTTCTTACAAAAATAAGGATGAAAAACCACTTGCTTGACGTACATTCAATTGATTCTGAGGTTCTCTGCTTCAAAAAATTACCTTTAGCTGATTTGATGACATAGATAATTTCTGTTTTCTGAAGCTGAGTTTCAGCTGCATGCAACAGTGAAAAAACTCCATTAATAGATCCCTAGCCAACATGTTTTGTTTTAGCTGACTGAAGTGCACCATGGGAGTGCTGTCTTTCACTAATAATGCTGTCTTCTGTAGATCGAGGCCCCGAAAGCCATGGCAGCAGACCTTCTCAGAAGTTTTTGGCACTCGCTGGAAGATCCTGTGGTTTATTCCTTTCAGACAGAGGCAACCACTGCGAGTTCCCTACCACTTTGCCAATCACGTCTAAACAGATGGATGGTGGGCACAGATGGGTCCTCCATGCTGGAAGTGTGTTACAGGTTTTATGATGATAGGACTATGACAGTCTTCAACTCAATTAAAAACCCACCAATTGTAGACATCACAGTGTGTCCCAAGCTTTATTTTAATTGTGGTCTTGATTCTGGTCTGAAATTAATACATTTTGTATGTTTACATTTAGATATATTCACTTTCAAATTAGCTTTCCAAAAAGATTTCATTTGTCTTTGAAGTTAGTAGTAAAAACAAAAAACCAAATGACTGGAATGCAGTCTTACACTATTTGTTTGATAATAATGACTCTCTTTTCTTTTTTTTCCTCTGGTAGGAAACACTGAAGTTTACATTGATTGTTAGCTTTCCCACTAAGTGTCTTAATATTATTTTTTTTTACTGTTTCTACCTGTAGGTCTTCTAGATAATATTGAGGTCTCTGCTTCTGCTGCATGTATTTAAAATTCTCCTATACTGCCATTTATTTGTGATGATTGACATGATTTTAACCATGCAGCACAGCACTATAAAAGGTAGCATTTAAAACAAGCAGACGTTTTCCTAAACTTTTGTCTGAGAAGTTATATAAATACATGTATATGTTTATATAGAGAGATCTTACAGTCATCATCATAGGAAAATACTAATGTATTTATGTCAGCAAAAGCTATGAAAAGCCACAGGGTAAAATATGCACATGCAAAGCATGTTTTCCCTAACACCCCAAGGACTTCTTTGCAATAATTCAACAACAACAACAAAAATTGTATGGTACATACACAAGAATGATTACTTTTTAATAATACATACTTAATTTGTCAGCATAATGTACCATAAGAAATAGTATATTAAATAGTATATATAAACATTTTACATTTTCTCTTCCTTAGTCAGTTAGCTGGAATTGATTTAGGTGTTTATAAATGGGAAGTATTTGTGAAAATATTTAAAAATATTTATATAGAGATACAGATATTTGCTACAAAGAGGGATGGCATACTATACTGATTACGATAGCTTGTTTTGGGCCCTTTATTTATGGAAGTAATTAACCAAAGAAAGCATCATTTTCGTTGTGGTGGAATGACAATGATTCCCAAAACTGGCTTAACTTTTCTGAATCTGCAAAAAAATATGTAATTTATGATAGCCTTGTATATCTGTACAAATGCTAGCATTTGTAGTAGTGGTAGTTTTTAGAGGTAGTAGTGGTGATTTTTGAAAGTTCTGTGAATTTTCAGGGGAGATTCTCAGCTGCAAAGCCTATAGTGTTTGTTGTCTAGTCTAACAGGACCAAGATCCACCTTAAATTAATCACAGATCAATCACCTTAGGGTTGTGATTAATGGTTCTGTGTCAGGGTAGAGGCTGATCACAAGTGGTGTCTCTCAGGGGTTGGTCTTGGGACCGGTGCTCTTTTACATCTTTATCAATGACATCTATGATAGCATTGAGTGCACCTCAGAAAGTTTTCAGATGACACCAAGCTGAGCAGTGTGGTTGATACAGTGGATAGAAGGGAATCCATCCAGAGGGACCTGGACAGACTGGAGAAGTGGGACCTAATGAGGTTTGACAAGGCCAACTGCATGGTGGTGCATTTGGTTTGGGGCAATCCCAGGAATTTATACAAAGGAAGATCTCCTTGAGAGCAGCCATGTGGAGGACTTGGGGGTCCTGGTGGGTGAGAAGCTGTACATGAGCCAGCAGCATGTGCTTGCAGCCCGGAAGGCTGACTGTGTTTTGGGCTGCATGAAAAAAAGGGGTGGCCAGCAGGGAGAGGGAGGTGATTGTCCCCCTCTACTCAGCTCTTGTGAGGCTCCATCTGGAGTACTGTGTCCATTTTTAAAAAGCACAAGAAAGATGCAGAGCTCTTGGAGCGGGTCCAGAGGAGGGTCACTAAGATGATCAGAGGGTTGGAGCACCTCTCCTACGAAGAAAGGTTGAGGGAACTGGGCTTGTTCAGCTTGCAGAAGAGAAGGCTCCAGGGAGACCTCACTGTGTTCTTCCAGTACTTGAAGGGAGCGTATGAACAGCTGTTGTGGATAGTGATAGGACAAGCAGGAATGGTCTTAAACTGTCACGGGGGAGGTTTAGGTTAGATATTAGGAGGATGTTTTTCACACAGAGGGTGGTGAAGCACTGGAACAGGTTGCCCAAGGAGGCTGTGGATGCCCCATCCTGGGAGGCATTCAAGGCCAGGCTGGATGTGGCTCTGGGCAGCCTGGTCTGGTGGTTGGTGACCCTGCTTGTGGCAGGGGGGTTGAAACTACATGATCATTGTGGTCCTTTTCAACCCAGGCCATTCTATGATTCTGTGATTCTATGATTAAATGATAGCCAAGTGATGGTAATTTTTAAAGGCACAGACAGAGTGTACAGCATGTAATCTGAGTTTGCAGCAAATCAGTTAATTTTCAAACAGTTCATTGAGGGTGAAGGCCTAAATTTGTCATGAATGCTATTCATAATGAATTTTTAGATTTGCTCCTTAAAATGTTAATGCAGTCACTGCTTATGGTGGATGTTCCTTTACAGAACTAACAGGTTTGATCATTGAAAATGCTAAATGAATCATCTTAAAGTAACTTGAATTTTAACTTTTTTCTGAGCTTTTAACGTTTGAACTGACTTCCCTTCTCTCTTTAAAAATAAATACAATACTTTGTTCTTTTAAATTTTGAGCCTAATATTCAACTGTTCTCTGTTGGTGCATTTATAGATGTGACTTCAGAATTTAAGATCATAATTGGCAGCAGTCCATAAACAAAGATGAGCTTGAGGAAAGTGGATGAGAAGGCTAGACTAGCACTTGAAATTAAAAATAATATGTGTATTTATTATAAAGTAATGCCTGTATTCACTTGTCTTTGGAAGGACTTCAATTACTATAGTCTCTGTAAAACACTTAAGAGAATAATAGAGGTCAGTTTTGGTTTATGTGCCAATTTTTAGATGAGAAAAACTCTGTTTTTGTTTTTAAAAATTTTTCATGCTAATCAGTTTTCATAGCAGGTCGTTACACTTTGATGCTTGTTAGGAGAGAGGATCAAGAATATAATTATTTGTGATACATTTGTGATGGGGGATATATTTCATTCCTTCTGTTTTTTGATATCACTTGGTTAACTGTACAATTCTATAACCAATAGATATATAACCAATAGAATAGATTATACATATAGAGAACCAATTCTATAAATACAGAATCCTCTCAACTCTGTGAACATCAGTTAAAATTTTTTTACATGATATATACAATGAAATGATGACACCAGTGAATGTTACCTGTTCTGTGGGGATAAAATTTCAACTCTGTTCCAGTACTTTCAAAAAGGAGGAAATATGAAACAGAAAAAAATCTGTCCTGATAAGGCACAGATTGGGGATAAACATGCTCTGAGTGCATAACAGGGCATGCATATAAACATCCTTGCACTTTTTCTCATGCTTTACAGTTAATGCTGATTAATTTTTAGGCTTGAGACATTACTATGTGTTTGGTCTCTGAGATTGTGTAGTTATTTTCAGACTGTAGTCTGCCTAGCTAATGCTCCAGTGTGAAGTAGAGCCTTTCCTCTCTTATTCTCGAAGTGCCCTCTTTTGGCCATAGTAAGCAACGACGGTTGACTCGGCCTGAAGCAAGAATGGTGTGCAGCTGTTATTCTTCTTTAGTGCACACTGGTTATCTGGAGCAATAATTGCATGATTTGGGTGTGTGTCTGTGCTAGTGGAAAGACGAACGTTGCAAGACAAAACTGCATCTTAAATGGACACAGTCTTTGGCCCACATCAAATGTTTTGTAGCACGTGCAAGTTTTCTAGAAAATGTTTAGATCGGTTGACTTTTCTTTTGAACAATAAATAATAAATAAAAATTGCATTCTAAAGCACTTAATCACATTATTCTACTTGGATTTAATCTAAAGTGAGTGAATGTGAAGGGAAAATTCATTAAACAGTGGAAGTGAAGATGGTACCAAATGCTTTGATTTTTAGCAGAGCTCACTGAACTGAGTGAAGTTGAAAAGAGCAACTATTTGCAGTTTGAGTACACATGCCATCATTGTTCAAGTCTTTTAATGTTCATTTTATGGTTGTCCAGTTTTATTCAACAGATTATACTTTCTAGAAACAATGAAAACATTTTCTTTTATTCCATCAGGCCACTCTACACCAGTATAAGGGGACAAAGATAAGATTTCAGTAGTACTATAAAAGAGAATCTTTTTCATCTTCGCATTCAGATGAAACAAGTGATAATAAGGTGGGTTTCTGGTAACCTGAAATTGTAATTAACATAAAACACCTTTTGTGGCACATTATATACTGTATTTTGCCAGCTTTCCTACCAGCAGGACATCACTCATAGCAGAGTGCCACTGTCTCTTGTATTTGAAATTGCTGACACTTTGACGTATTGTTTGACTTCATCATCTCCAATCTTTGTCTTCACAATGGACTTAATTTTGATGCTGCTAAAAATAAGAAGGTGATGTAACCTTATTGGAATAATATTATCACAAAGAGAAAACGTAGTACTGTTAATGGACTCTTCTCAATTTCCCAACTGGACATAGCATTACTTTCCTTAAAAGTGTTTTGTTTGCTGCAGTCCTGATTTTTTTGGACAAAAAATGTTGCTTAATCAATAGATATTCCAGTCAATGGTACTTAATAGTACTTCTAGTAGTAGTACTAGAATAAAAACTAAATGTACTTCCATGGTATCTGCCTCCAAAGACTAAGTTGTATAAAATTAGTACCACCTTCAATATTAATTCTCATTCAGTATTAGCTCTACAGTTTTTCTATGTATGCAAGAACAATAAATTGATTTTTTAGCAGCATGTGTAAGAAATGCATTTTCAGTCATAATAGTGCAACCAGTTGAAAGTTAACTGTCTGAATACAAAGGTTCTACTCCATTTTTTGCATTTCAAGATACTACTGGATTTTCTTCAGCAGTGAAAACTCGAATCTCTTGTTAAAGTCCAGAAAAAAAGATTTGAACCTGATGAAGATATCCAACTGAACATGGTACTTGTCCAGCAATGCTAATACATAGAAAGAATGCTAGAAAGGTTAGTATGGGTGTGTATATCACAA